CCGGCGGCCTCCAACGCAGCGGTCACCCGCCGTGGGTCACTCCCTTGCTCTTCTGGAGCTTCCACAGGTACTCTGTGGAGCTGTGAGGTTTTGTGCCTCTGCAGTTTAAATGCAGTTCGTGGGTAGGATAAACGGGACCAAGTGAATGTTCTGTCCTGCTAATGCTGTGGGCAGCAGCAGAAAATCGTTTCTTTGCTGCAGCTGCTTAAAACTTGTCCATGAATAGTTCATAACAAAGGATGTGGTGATAAATGTTCTCAGGAGGTGTATCGATCCTTGTGGCTCATAATTCATAACAAAGTATGTGGTGATAGTGTTCTCAGGAGGTGTATGGGTCCTTGTGGCTCTAACTTGCTTCCCTGAATCTCTCCTGACAAGTGAATGGCCACCAGCCCGAGCCTCTAGGAGCTGCAGGCCAGCAAGAGCACTAGGTGTCCTGGTGTGGTGCAGCAGAGGGGCCACGTCTCCCTTACCACGTACACCTCGTCGCCGTAGGCGATGACGCCCACTCCGCCCCTCCTGCTGCCCATGGAGGCAATGAAGGCCCATTGGTTTGTTGTGGTGCTGTACACTTCAGCGGTCATGGAGCGCTCGATGCCGTCGAACCCACCACAGATATACACCTGTGTACAGGGGAAAAACCACGTGTCAGCAGGGCAGTTATAATCCTGGTGGGGTTTCTGTGGAGTTCTGGTTTCCAGTCCTCCTGGGTTTGAAGTAAAAGTGCAGTGAGTTATTCAGGCCAGCAGGATTTGGAGCTGTTATTTCCTGAACTGGCTGAAGCAAAGGGGCCCGTACAGTATTTCACTTGCACTCCCAGCAGCAAGCAGGCCACTGGTGGTGAGCAGCTCTGGCAGAGCTTCAGCACTCCTGCCTGCATCCCCACTCACCCATCAGATGCTGCCTCTTGGAGAGCTTTATAGCTGTAGGTCCAGGATTTAATGAATAAGGTTTATGTGAACTTTCTTCTTTGTCATTTTAAATGATTCATCCTGTTGAAGGGAGCATTCGTTACCTCTCCCGCTCCCACAGCCCCTCCTCCCTACCGAGGTGATGTGCTCGGAGCCCCAGCTTGGCATCTACCAGGTGTGGAGCCCTGTAAGGGGCTGAGCTCTGCGAGGGTCCCCACCTCGGAGGGCGCCCTGCGAGAGGTTGTGCTGCACGCTGCTGTTTGGTTCCTTGCCCTGCTCACAATCCTTCAGCCTCAAGGGCCGGCAGTAGCCTCGGGGGCCATTTACCTTCTCATGCAGCGTGGTCGCGCTGGCGTCGCTCCTCCGCTCGTGCATGGAGGGAATCATCGTCCACTGGTTCGTCTCCGGCTCGTACCGTTCGGCCGTGTTGAGGCGCACGTGGCCGTCGAACCCCCCCATGGCGTAGAGGCAGCCG